AAGCAGCCCAGCTTTTGAGAAAGCAAACGCCTCTTCGATTTCTGAGCAGGCGCCTCTTCGATTTCTGAAGCTCCGTCGAGTGCAGATTTTTATAAGGGCTGGCATTAAGTTCCAAAGCACACTTGAATCTCCACCAGTAGAAGCTTCATTCTTCATTCTTGCACTTCTCTCTTCAACACCTTTGAAAATGTCTGGCCCCTCCGACCGTCGTTTTGACTTGAACCTTGTTGAAGAGGCAGCCCCGCCTTCTCCAGACAACATATGGCGCCCATCCTTCGTCTCCCCTACTGGTCCTCTTACCGTTGGGGATTCCGTGATGAAGAATGATATGACCGCTGCGGTGGTGGCCAGGAACCTTCTCACTCCCAAAGATAACAGACTACTTTCCAAACGGTCTGATGAGTTAGCTGTTAAGGATTCGCTGGCTCTCAGTGTTCAGTGTGCAGGTTCTGTGTCTAATATGGCCCAACGCCTATTTGCTCGAACCCGCCAAGTTGAATCATTGGCGGCTGAAGTGATGAGTCTCAAACAGGAGATTAGAGGGCTCAAGCATGAGAATAAATAGTTGCACCGGCTCACACATGACTATGCTACAAACATGAAGAGGAAGCTTGACCAGATGAAGGAAACTGATGGTCAGGTTTTACTTGATCATCAGAGATTTGTGGGTTTGTTCCAAAGGCATTTATTGCCTTCGTCTTCTGGGGCTGTACCGCGTAATGAAGCTCCAAATGATCAACCTCTGATGCCTCCTCCTTCTAGGGTTCTGTCCAGTACTGAGGCTCTAAATGATCCCCCTCCGGTGCCTTCTCTTTCTGGGGCTCTACCGACTGCTGAGACTTCTCCTAAGCAACCTTTGTGAAGGCTCCCTCTTGTGTGTTTATTTTGACTCATGTATATGTACATATTTGTAGCTTATCGGGGATATCAATAAATAAGCTTTCCTTCATTTCAACGTATTGTGTTAAATACACCAAAGCCTTCTTCGCTAAGTTCTTTGAATTTTCTTTTGTTGAAGCTTGTATGTTGAAGCTTTCTGAGTGGAGCATGTAGGTTGGGGTAGTGTTCCCTTAATTTTCCGAGTGAGGAAAACTTCTCGGTTGGAGACTTGGAAAATCCAAGTCACTGAGTGGGATCGGCTATATGAATCTTAGAACGCGCTAAAAAATCCATCTATTTTGGTCCATCCTTATAACACAAAACTGTCATTATCTTGCAAATGCAAAGAATTTTGGCTTATCCAGCTGGTTCTTGTAAACACTTAACAAGTGCTGGTCGCATATCAAATAAAAGTAAAATAATTAATAAAAAGCAACAAACGTTAAGTCCACTGGACGCAACGGAGCTATTAATGCTGAGCAATATCAGGGGCATGCAACAGAACGTTTCAACACAAAATAAAATTGCATAATCTGCCCTGTAACTATCAAAATATTGCCAAGCAGACAGCACTAACACAAGCACTGCAAAAGGTTTTATACCTTTTCTGGGCTGCAGCAAAGAATAAATCGTTGTGCAAGAACACCACATCCCGCACTGTTTCTCTAACCTGAACATCAACAGTCAGTTAATCAGCCCAATGTTCCAGTCAAAACCCTGAAGTATGAAAAAGAAGTACCCAGCATTCCACCATATCATTAGAAAAAAAAGAAAACAAAATTGAACTAATACAACCTAAACTTTTAGGCTGTGCACATTTACCACCCCAAAAAAAATTCATAACTAGCACTTTAAAACGTGGTCTCAAAATCCAGTCACAACTGTGTGGCCACCCCTCCACAGTTCATAATTTATATCAAATCAGGTTTTTTTCAAAACATGTGGGCCCATTTTCAAGGATGTTATCATCACATCAGATATTTTAGTGAGCCAATGATTTTTGAGAGAAAAGAGAAAAGGAAAAATAATATCAAATGCCTACTCTATAAATCTTGAGCCATAAAGACATCACTTGAAAAAGTGGCCACATGTTTGCCTTGTGACATAATTTAACTGAAATGTGCACGGAATCAGATGGAGGTGCCACATACAGAGCATAGTCTGGATGGTTGATTTACTACTTTTGCAGGTAGTATATAAGTCCCAATTTCGCTTTAAGGAACATAGAAAGAATGCTTCACACCAACGGCCCAAAATGTACATCCAGGACACCGTTTTACAACATTGACTGCAGTAACATTAATCCATCTAAAAGGACTACCCTGAACAGTGGAATCTTACATTCACATGTAAACTTCGAGATTTGCTTAGTTAAATTCTTGCACTAGAAATGGCAAAAGGATACAACACAGCGTAGCAATTGAAAGATAAAACTGTACTTGCATGATTCCTTTCAATTATCTCTTCCATATAACTCAGTAAATTCTTTTCAGCATACAATTAAGACTCATACTTTTAGTTATAAAGCTGGCATCGTATCAAAGGCATTAACTCATTACTAGTATATTCAAACTTCACACATGAAGACTAGTACACGTGAACGTGTCTGCGAGCAGCACGTCCAAATCAATATCGCTACGTCCAAATCAATTTTGGGTAAAACAAGGTCACAGCATCAGACTGAAAACAACAGCTTGGCTACTTTATTTGCACTCATACTGCATGAAATACCTGAAATTCTTTAATCAGCCTCATAGTCTTCATGTCTACAATAGCCAGATGGCCCTTGCGTCCACCAATTGCCATATGGCGACCACTTGAGGTGAAATCCAGCGTGTACGGTCCGAGATCTGCAGATAATAGTTAGGATTCAGGGATAAACATTAGAGCAAGATTAGGCAGGCCAGGAAAGTTAATCTAGACACTTCAATGAATATTGAATACTTAAGAGCTCCGGTGTCAATATGTCCGAACTCTGCTTACACTATTCGGGAAAAGGATTCTGCTTACACTAAATGTTGATAGCATTTCAGGAGGTGCATTGCTAAAAAAATTTATCTACAATGAAATTATATGAAACATCATTACAATCAGTAGACAGAGTGTGTAATAACAAAAGATGCTAGCGCCTATACAGCATGACGCAATGCATTAAATTACTACATATTTGAGGACACATTATAACAAGTGGCATGCAGCCACGTGATGTTACAAATTCCCCATTAATTAAAACATGTGTACCATAAGTAACATATGTGATAATGATTTATCCATCTCTCAGCAACTGAACAACATGAACCGATATTTCGACCTCACTAAGATTTATAGCTAATATACAGTTTTGTTTTTTATTTCACACAATTAAGTTTGGTTAGGCCAGCTAAATCGGCATTTGCATAACTGATATCAGAAGGCAACAAAACCAAGTATATACAACGTCCTTTTAACTACAATAAGCAAAACAGTAAAGCGTCACTTTTAAGTTTCTGAGTGACTTTACAATAAATAAAGGTAGTGTTAGGTGTCAACCTGGTAAGATAATATCAAATTGATTCCTTGAGCTTGATATATCTACTTCACGAGCAATTGATTCTTGTTTGATCCTCCATGTCTTCTCCATGCCTTCAGCCTCCAAATAGCCTCCCTCACTTGGTAGAAGCCACTGATAATTTGATCACAAATGAAAACAACAACAAAAATCACATACTTCATCACATGTACAAAAAAAAAAAAATTAATAAAAAAAACAGGACGATGTTTTTGGTAGCATGTTCAGGTCAAGCAATGGTCAATGAGGACACAAAAACTTATATCGGGGGTTGTCATTGTGCAACCCAAACTGGATATCACACTAAACAAAAATTCACCTTCTCGGCCATGGCAGCAGCTTGTGCAGATTTCCCATATAATTCTTCTCGAATGGTAAGTTGACCCTTCAACTTTTTATCTTGCAAGCCCTGAAGACGTTGGGAATGCAATGATGCAGTGAAAACTAAACAAGTTCAAATGAAAACTCTAATTCTCGATTCCATACCTCCAAATTAGCTTTGCCTCTAAGAAACTTGTTCATTTTTATCTCGAGCTCATCAGTTATATTGTCCTGCAATTTAAGATACTTCCCATTTATGTTTGTAACAAAAAGCAATGCATAAGAGCCCCAGTGTTAAACTTAAACTCTCAGTCTGACGAGTTAGATGTTGGAGACATGCACACAAAAGGCAATATTACAACTCAGATTGCCTGAATGATCATAAAAGACCACAAGAAGATGTCAAGAGACTGCTAGAAAAGTTATCATATGTTCTACACAGAAATTAAAACGTACGGATTTCTCGTTTGGAGGCACATAATTGCCCTCATCTTGTTGCACACCCATCTTGGCCAATCCAGGCTCGTATCCTGAAAACGCAAAATTCCCAGAAGCTTGATCAGTAATGCAATCCAACTTAAACATCATTTTTTGAAGGACATACAGAGACAAAGACACCAAATACAGAGACTGCATTTCAAAAACTGATACGTAAATTTCTGCTGCTGGAGAAGAGGATTGATACGTAAATTACTTGTGATAATATTATATATAACAATAAGCAAAATGTTTCGTTGACATATTGTCGAACAGTGGATGTGCAGTTTACCTTTAGAACGAGTGGAAGACAGGATTCCGATTCCGGGAACCAAAAAGCTGACGGAGAACTAAGCAAACCGTAGGCTAGAGTTTAGACACGCAAGTCGTCCTTACCACAGTGCTGGAAAGGAGTTGAGTGTCGTCGTGAGTTTGAATCTCATTGGCAGCTAATCTAACGTGTAATCTAACAAAATTTATATTTGGACAAAAAGGAAAACAAGGCTAGGGTTTAGACGCAACTACACAGTGGCAGGAGAGATGGAAAGGCCATGGGCCCGGTCCAAACTCGCAAACCCCGTGTAAGTTACATGAAGAATATGATCGTAGGATTTGACAGCGGTCCGCCCGATCCATCATTACTATTATAGCGCGTTTACGTAAGGGTAATCGGAATCAAGAAACGGAATTGAATTCCGATTACGGTATACTTCGGTGTTTATTAAATTTGGAGGAATCAAAATTTAGTTGGTTCCACACAAATTTTGGAATCTAATTCCAATATTTGGCTGATTTGGATTCCTAAGATAAAGGAGGTATTTGGATTCCGGATGGCTTGGGAATCAGAATGCTAATTTTTCTTCCTTTATGCCCTCACTTACTTTCATTATTTCCAAGATTATCCTTTTAACCATAGAGTTATTTTTCTTTTCACCCAACTCATTTCTCTCTCAGCCGCAGAACTCTCTCTTCTCTCAACCACAGCTCTCGTCACAATTACGGATAGGTAAATTCCTACTTCTTCTGCGTTTTTATCTTTGTGATCATAGTGCTCGATGAATATCAGCGTTTCGTTGCTCGTTTCTTTCTTCTCCATGATGAATTTTCTTTCCAGGAATTCGTTCAATTTTTTCCCCGATTTTCTTCTCTTTTTTTTTGGTGTGCGAAAAACTTGGACTTTGGACGAGAAAAGCGAAAAAAAAAAGAATTGAAATTAATGATAATGTTGTCTGTGCATGTTCTCGGACGCCTGAGTTGACTTCACTTGTTAGAGAGAGAGAGAGAGAGAGAGAGAGATTTTCAGTAAAAGTTGGAAACTTTGTTGTTGGTTTTTGGATTTGTGAATTGGGTCTGATTTGTTTTGATGTTTTTTGTTTTGTATCTTGTATTGGGGGGAGTGATTGGTTGCTGAGAAAATGTGGGAAAATGGTGGATTGAAGTAGATTGACATCTGTTGTTCTGTTGCATATTCTACATTTATGTAATTTACTTGAGTTATTTGGTTGTTGGGAACTTATGGAGCTGAATGTTGATTTACAAATATTTATTTTACAGAATGGATCTTCTTTTTTTTCATAGTTAGGTGCATAAAGAATCAAAGATGCAAAATTTTCTTTTTATTTGCCGTTTGGATTTGTTTGACCGTACGCTTAGATCAGGGACATCTGGGATTTGTGTGTTTGATGATCTTCTGAATTGGGTTATGCAATTTATTTATCCTATTGGGTTTAGAAAGCTAGGTATTTGAAGAGCATATGATGCAAGGGTAAATTCTAGTTGTATGTCTTAACTTGAAGAAATTAATCTGTTAAATTTAGGCATATGTTGAACAAATTGCAAGTATTTTAGTTTCTTTTGATGGGTTGGTGGGAGTTTGCAACGGGGCCTTCCACCAGGGAAGTAAAGGGTTGAGAGATTGGATAACTTCCATGCCTTTCTGGAGGTATAGTTGTTACTTTTTGGGATATATACATATGCATATATGTGTGTGCACGTAAAAAATTAATTGCAAAATTTACCTCTTCCAGACCTTGCGTAAAGCGGGAGCCTTGTGCACTGGGTATGACTCTTTTTTTTTCTTCATATCAGCGGACATTGAAGTTTCGTTTTTACTGTTGTGCTAGAGGTACATGGTGGTTAATAAGCACCATTCCTTGCATAGTTGCATTTTATATGGCGAACTCGTTTTTACCATACATAACTTGATCTGGGAGGCATTTCTCAGTGCTTTATGGAAAAGGAAAGAGGATTATTGTGTTTTATGTGAAGGGTCTAGTTTCCTAATCAATATAACATTCCTGGGAAGTGTTTTTGAGATCATCTGATACAAGATTATCATTGTTTGGTATGATTTGACTTGTTAAGAAAAAAATTGATATGCAGGATTATGTACCTGTGATCTTTGAAATGTTGTATTGTTTAGGAAGAGTACTTTATCCCCAATTCTTTATGCTCACAAATGTTTATTAATCAAATATTCATCATCTTTATGACATTAGGAAGAGTGAGGACAAGGTTGTGGGTTGAGCTCTCTTCAGTGGTTGCAGGTATACTATGATTTATGTTGTTATTTTTCCATTAATTGTGAGACTAGGTATGGAGGGAAAAAAAATGTAAATTTTTGTGACTGATTGTGTTCTGTAATGTTAATTTATTTCAGTTTGCAGATTTGTTTATTAACTTGTTAATTGAAGTCCTTCATGACATTTTTTTTCTTTATTATTTTCTGTAGACTAATGGCTCGTCTAAGTTTGTCCACAAAGAAGAAATTACATGCTATGTTGAATGTGTTGATTGTCTATCTTCGAACTATATTTGTTGCATGTGCTACTTCTTGTTTCTATTCTTGGTATCGTTTCCAAAAACGCCTTAGAAGTCCCTCACCTTGTTAAACAGTTATAAGAGTTTACAAGCAATTAGAATACTTACATGGTTTAATTTATGAGAGTGATGTGACATGTATTGCTGAACTACGAATGGATAGACGATCCTTTCATAGATTATGTCAAGTTCTTGTGACTAGAGGACATCTACGAGCTACTCGAAATATGTCTATATAGGAGATGGTTGCATTTTTTCTATACATTCTTGCACACCATCTTAAGAATCGCACAATTAACCACCACTTTAGAAAGTCTGGTCGAACAATTAGTAAGTATTTTCATGAGTGTATTAAAGTAATGATTCGATGCCAAAAGGATTTTTGGCAAACACCTGAGCCTATCCTTGAGAACTCAACCGACACGAAAAGGAAATGGTTTAAGGTATGTAGTATCTACATGCCTACACTACTCAGTAATTACTAGCTTTTTATTTCATAGTTTAGTTTGTTAATTTAATGTCCTATATACTGTAGAATTGCTTAGGTGCACTAGATGGAACACCTGTTAAGGTGCATGTACCAGAATGTGATAAACCAAAGTACAGAACAAGGAAAAATGAAATAGCAGTGAAGGTTTTGGAAGTCTGCACTCCGGACATGCAGTTTATATATGTTTTACCTGGATGGGAAGGGTCCGCACATGATGGTCGAGTTCTTAGAGATGTTGTGACTAGGAGAAATTGATTGAAAGTCCCTAATGGTAACACTTACAATTTTTTTAGTAATTAAAATTCTTAGCTTTTGAATTGCAAGTGATAGAGTTGTAAGTTTGACAATTTAATTCTTTATCAACAATAGGTTGTTACTATTTAGTTGATGGTGGCTACACAAACGGAAAAGGTTTTCTTGCACCTTATAGACGAACCCGTTATCATCTGAATGAGTGGAGATGATGAATGCTAGTTTTTTGCTATGACGTGCTTGCTGCCATGATGATATATCAGGGGAAATTGTGAATGTTTTGTAAATCTAATGACTGATTAGATGGCACCATGATGGTGAAGAACTACTTTTTGTTGATATTATGATGTTTAGGCAGGTTAGGAATATTTTGTTGACAATCTGATGTGTAGGCAAGTTATGAATATTTTGTTGATAATATGATGCCTAGGCAGGGTATGACTAGTTTGCTTAGGTTGGTTATGATGGTTGGATATATGTACTTTGATGTAAAATATTAACTTTAATGAAGTTATTTCCTTCTCTTTATTTGTTCCTAATGTTTTTTCTTCATTTATTTACTATTATACAAAATCCACCTCGTGAAGATCTCTTTAGTTTAAGAAGAATCAAGTTTTTTTATTTGAAATGGTAAAAGTCATTTATTCTACTCCTTGACATTATGTAACAAAATACATCTTTAAAGAGTTAAGACTGAAAATGCTCCTAACAATTTCTTTCCATGTCATTCTAGCTCATTACGCATAATTATATGCTCATTCACATTATGCACAACTCCATACATATGCCGAAGAGAAAAAATTACAATTTGAGTGAGAAAATTTAGATATTAAAGCCAATACTTAAATTTATAAAAAAATAAACAAAATCATTTTAGTATGTCTATGAAATAAAAAAGCAATCTTACTATTATATACTATGTCAAATTTTATTAAAAAAAGTATATAAAATATTTGATTTGAGACAAGGGCACTTTAGTAATCATATTGGTTTATATTCCGATTCTACTGAATTAGTAAACAGTTTTATGGAATTGTATTCCGATTCCGGACAGTTTTAGTAAACAACTTCAACAGGAATCTGATTCTGATTCCATCTCATTTCAATTCCTCCTCAATTCAATTCCTCTCAATTTGATTACGGATTAGTAAACGCGCTATTAGTGTTTATTATGATCTGCATTGTTCATGTTACAAAATATTGTATACAAATTATTTTGTGAAAAAAATTAATTAAAATTAGGATCGTTTAGTTAATTAGACTATAGCAAATATATAAATGGTTTGTAATATTTTTGCCGATTTAGACACTTTGTTTTGTACAATTAGATAGCTAAATAATCTCAAATTTTATTGACTTTTTGAAGCAATGATGTTTACATAATGATTTATATATTAATAATTATAATTATAAGCATGAAGTTTTGTGAATGAGTCACAAACTGTTTTTGTGGCGCCGAGTATATCTAAAAATAATGTAAAATAAGTGTGTATTTATCTCCCAACGATCATTGAGTTTGAACTATTTGTCTGATGTGTTTTTATTAAGGATTTATATGTAGAAAACTCTTATATTAATGTGTTTATTAGTCATTTTCATATTCAATATGTCCGATGCATGCTTTTAGAACCAAATACATTTTTGCACCATCAGTTTTAAAATAATTCACAAGATTTCAATTTGTCATATTCAATTTACACGTTTTGTCATGTTAGTGAGAAAGTGGAAGAGTGGTGCAAAAAACTACCTCTATTTATATCTATTTACATCCCCCACCCCCTGATTCCCGGATCAATGAATATATCTATTTACATCAAACTAATTATGCTTTGTACTGTTTTTGCAGGCACTCCCAGAGGTGCCGGTCCAGTTAAAACAGGTCAGAAGATAACTGCTGGCATAACGAACCTCGTGGATGTTCAATTCAATATTGAAAAAAGGCAGAAGCAAGGAAGTTCTTGAGCTTCGATTATCGACTTGGTGTTATCGCATTTGAGATGTTCCAGCATGAAAAAATAATAATTGTTAATGCAAACCATAGAACTTATTACTGAAACAAGAACCATGACCTCGACTTGGCATGAAAAAGTCTGAAAATTTCTACGCTTGGTCAATTCCCTCTCTCAAAGAACGCACGGAGAAGAAGAAGATGCTAGGAATAGAGCCGGCCAAGCTTATTTAACCTAGTAAAAATTAAATCCTCCTAATAAAAGGCCTTCCAATCCAACTAAGAAACTAAATACCAAAATAAATAGAAAACACAACCTCAAACTACTCCAAAACCGGCCCAATATAGCTGGATTTAAGGTTTGGAATATTCTGAACACTTTTCCAGAAAGTTACAAACCCATAAGAGGTCATCTTAGGCTCCAAAAACCCAATTTAAGTCCAGAAACGTCATTTTCCAGCACTGTACATTGCTCATTTATTCCATTGCCAGAAAATAACCACTTGGTAAAAAAATTCCAAATTTTGACACGAACACGCCAAGAGACACATGAACGTCCTCTAATTTGAATCACTCCAAAAGTCATCTGCTTGATCATGTTTTGCTCCAAAGGAAGTCGGATGTCCTATCACGTCCAGGTAACTCCTATCATCCAATCAAATTCTCCTCAACGCCATATTGCTAATGGCTGTAATTATCCTTACGATGCCAAGGGCGAAGTCGGTTATGTGGGATGCATAATACCTAGCCCTTCGTTCCTTATTTTAAGAAATTCGATCAGCAAGGAGATCAATCAGTCCTAACATGGCCAGCCCTCTCATTAGTCCCCAGAGAAAGAATTGCGGAACTAGCCACATGATGCTCATAGAGTAGCCTTAGGTGTGTCATTGCTAACTAAATTATTCAACCTTTTTCTCTCAACCTGCCAAGCAGCAACACAACATAGCATGGAACAAACCAATCCTGAGCCAATTCTCGCCAGCGTAGCATTTTGCCAGTACTGCTTCCGATCCAGTAACTCATCACACAGAAACGATACCAAGAAACACGAGAAGGAACCAATTAGTTTGAAATAAAGTGGCTTTACCGTTCCAACTTTGTGATCCAAGTAACTCATTTGTTCGAAAAAGAACGTACTCCCTGTTGCCTCCACCATAGTGTATGCTAAGAAGACTGACCGCATAGCTATCGCTTCTATGAAAAACGACTTTTCCCCCTTGATTTTTTTGAGTGGCCAGTACTTTTTTCTTTGTTGTTCTACTAGACGAGATTCCCCTGCAGATTCGTCAATTCTACTTCGTACGAAGTAGCAGGAGTAGCCAAGCAAGAACACTAGATAAGAAGCTCCCACTAAAGTTGCTGAAACCCAAAACGTACGTGTCCAAGACATGGTTGTAAGGAACATAGATAGGAATGCACCTAAAATCCAGGGATGGCTCCACAAAGCTTCTCTACGAGTATCTCTACGGTTTTCATCTGAGAGTGGTGTTTGTTTTTGTTCATCAAAATATTGATCGTCCAGAAATTCCGGAAGAGTAGTCGATCGGCCAGCTTCGCCTAATACTACCAGTACGGCTACTCCATAGTATGCCTTAGCCGAAGTTTGTGCTCTCATGAACTTAGAAGGGACCTATAATAGAAGAAGTTCCTACGTATATGTGCAACAAATTAACACATATAGCAATCCAAGAATTAAGCACATATGTACATGCGTCTATTATCAATTTGTGAGCTAATGCGACACCAATCACTCTCCACTGTAATTTATGATCTCAACCATTAAATTTTTAGGTCATTATCAAAGAATTGTTTATATGGAAAAATAATTGTGATTTTGAAGGATTATCCTAAAATATTGAGTGAGGATATATATGGGCTTTAGATGTAGGATATGGTAATTTTATTGGTTGGAGAAACTGAGCTTAAGCCTAGTTTGGTCCCGCCCTTGTTTATATAATCACAATTACAAAAATAAACGGTTTTTTATTTGTTTATTTTTTTAATGGATGATCCTTCAATACTGACCTAAAAAATTATCCGTTCATTCGGAAAGTGAAACTAAATAAATGGTCAGACCTATATTAATTTTTGCAAGAAGACTTACAAGAATATAAGCAGCATTTGTGGAGACAATCATTTTAAAACGACTCATGTATGAGTTTGATATATGAGCAAGCACAATAACCATGACGGATGTTATCCCCTCTTGTAAATTTGTAACTATGGCAGCCATTTCAAATTGTTCAGTATTCCAACTCTCCGTCAGGTACACTATCAAGATACCCACGATTGCTTGATTTACGAAGCTGTGGCTAAAAACCAAACCTATTTATATATATGTCATCACAAAGAAACAGAAGAAATCAGAAAGATGGTTTGAATTAATTCTCGAATCCGCTCTAATAAAGTTCTGTTTCTCTGAGTCCGAGAGAAATAATATCTAGTAAATCAGAAAAATTACGTTGACGATTATAATTTTTATAGAAAAACATTTCAAGTGCTAAATTAATTGGAGGAAGAAACAACCCCGGATCTATTCACTTATCATACTCTAATTGATTTTTAGATGTAAAATTCTTTTGGTTTTACTTAGCAAATTCAATTTTGCTCTAAAATATGAAGTTTGAAGAGTGTGTGTCTGTTTTAAAGTATAATGTTATCAAGATTTACATGTGAAAAGTTGGCGAGAAAAACTAAAAAGTCAGCCGACTTTTTTTTTTTTTTCATGTTAATTAATTCAATAGAGATTGATCAGTGACCCTCACTTCGAATGCATGTAGTAGCCTTGGAGAAGTAGAGGTGGTTTCCGAGCCACTTTCGCACCATATGGAAGCATTTGCCGAGAAAAACGTTGTAATGACCCCGCTTAATTCCTATTTGAATGAGGGTCCGCCTCGTTCCTTCTAAGAATGTAGTGACAGTTCCGAAAAATCTTCCCATGGCAAGCGAAACCTGCAACCATAGCTTCCAAAAGAAATTATAATTGAGAGTGTAATATATATATTGCATACTCACTACTAAAAGAAAAATGCAATAGCCATGGTTGCTGTTGTCACAGTTCAGTAACTGTGACTTTTCTTGCGCAGAACCTTATCTGTTGGAAATATGTGGCCCCATACAACATCTATGGTAATTAGTAAAGTGTTAGCCACATATCAACCTCTATGAATGTACCACAATTAAAGATAAAATTAAAGCTCGATAAGGTTATCGAACAGAAAAAGAAAAAGAAAATATTGGATTGCACCAATGATTACAGAGTGAGTTAGCAATTTGATCAAATTTGTCGCAATCTATATTAGAAAGTGTCTCATCCAAGATATTCACGATTCATTGAGTCCCTCCAAACCCTCAAAACTTATGAATATGGATTCTAATCACAAATCCTTTGAAAATAATGCAAATTAAGATCGGAAACAATAAATAATATATATATATATATATATATATATGTTATAAACTTTCCTAGTTTAAGTGTGATTGTGTAAATCCTAGATTATATTTGATTCTAGTTATTCTTTTATATTACAACTTATATTCCTTGGGGATGAAGGAATTTCTTCTCTTCTTTTACT